AAGGCTGCTCTTTCGGCCACGCTTCGCCCTTGGGTGCTTTTGCCTGAGCAAAGGACTCGGATGCTGTACCCTCAGTGTGCTGCTTGGTGGCAAGCTCTGCGTCAAGGATCGGGAAGATGCCTGCGTGGTGCATGACGATGCGTGCCAGACCTACGCGACCGTGTCGGTTAGCGAGCGACATTGCTTGCAACTGCAAGTCCTCGGAAAGCTCCAGAGCAGTGCGTGCGCCCCAATTCGTTCTTTGCGCCCCAGCGTTGGTCTTTGACTCGGTGACAGCGGCGTACTCTAGGACGATGCGCTCGGCCTCGAAGCCAACGCCGCGGGCGATATTGTCCTCGATGCGACGATCTGGTCCACCCAGATGAGCGATCGTGCGGCCAATGGACATGTACAGTGCCAGTCCACCCGGAAGACGCTCGACTAGAGACTTTGGCTTTGGCGCAGACTGTGCGTCTGTGTGATTGGTCTCCACACGGACATCGGCTGGACTGCCTCCGCCGCCATTGGCCTGCTCCGCCGTGCCGGGCCTGTTCCGCTTTTGTTTTGCTTGAATGATGGCAGCAGCCAAATCTGCGTAGGTTTCGAGAGCGCAAATGTTCCACGCTTCGACGTCGACATCTTCGATGTTGGCTCTGAACTCCGCTACGGTATCTTGCGCAGACAAGGTGGGAATGTCATCGTCCAGCGGAGAGCCTCGAGGCTCGACACTACCGGGGACGCGTCCCGAGCCAAGCACCTCAAAGCTATGCATGGCGAGAAGGTGATGCTGCGAGGATCCGATGTCAGGAGTACCTTTGGACGATTGCGGTCGAAGAAATAATCTTGTCGAACCCTGCGGGCCGGCACTCAAAGACAGGAAGGACTCGACAGCATCGATGCGCAGAGATGTCTCGAATTGGTACCGGAGACTGAAGCGGGTCTCGGCTGCCATTGAAGTCCTACGGCTGTATCCAGGTAATCGGACTTTGCCAGTCTTTGACATGGCTTCCCTGAGCGACGGACGTCTTGCTGTGACAGATGGTCTGTCCTCTTCTGCGCGCTTCTGTTGCAGCTCTTGCATGCGTTGCAGCGTCTCGGCCATGGTGAGGTTGACCTCGGCGTACCTTTTGCTTGAGAAGCTCGAGACGCGCGGCGTGGTGGGCGCCGACAGCTCCTTGGGCTCTTCAGTGACAGTCGCGGGGATATGCTCCTTTCCGAGAATGGTTCGTGCCTTTCCTTCGCGGCAGGCAGCGGCTCCGCTGAGTGGCCATTCAAGGCTGTCGCTCTTGAGAGCTTTGTAGGCTGCTCGCTTCTCAGCCGCAGGACGCTTGACGTATTCGTCACGGTACTCGCCGAAAAAGACAAAGTCGACGTTAGGAACGGTAAAAGTCAGCTTTCTGGAGCTTCTACGCCTTGGGCTGCTCGATTGACCTCTTGCGGGCGGCATGGAAGCCTCTTGAGGTGCCTCCGAGGTCAAATCCACAAGCAAGGAAATACGCTGGACATGGAAGCCCGCAGCAATTCTCGGCAGTCGTCGAAGACGCTCAATGTCGGTCTTGGGGCGAGGAGGTTCTTCGATGCCAATTTGCTGCCTTTTCGTCTGCCTTCTGCGGCTAAACTCGCTTGCGATCGGAATCAAGGCAGTGATATCGGCCACGGAGACGTCGGTTTCAACGCCACCCACCGCAGCCTCGACGGCGGCGGCATGCTCGTTCGGATCGCCAGCCAGGAGAAGACGTGCGGCTTCAGGACAGGCTGCAAACAGTCCGAAGGGAGTCCAAGAAGATCTCGCGACGATAGAAATGTCGCCAATGGAAAGAAGTCGAGAGGCGTGACTGCGTCCGCGTGTCCCACAGTGCACATCAAAGCTTGCGAGGCTCAAGTCGGCGAGGAAGGTGCGTCGATGTTCGATGCCCTTTGTTCCTCGCGGTACAGCTTTATGACGATCTCGATTCTGCGACTTCTTGCCGTCGCCACCTTTCTTTTCGCGGGAGCCGTTGCTCCAGAGCGGTCTGCTGGAGACCCCACAAGTGCCCAGCCATCTACGATGCAGATCGTCCTTTGGATCACTGTCTTTGAGCTCGAAGTTGAAGCCAGCGAGGGCAATGGCAAGATCCCTGGATGGTAGCGGAGAGTCCTCCCCGGACGCGTCCTCGGAGCTAGCAGCGCAAAGAGCAACAGATGACAAGAGGGCATCCGAAGAGGCGGTCACGCGTACGGATGGCAGAGAGAGTGCCACCGAAGACACGATGCGCAGGGCATTGGCCGATGCTGAAGGCCTCTGCTGTACGAGATGCTTGGATAGGACTGAACGCTGGTCATCGGAGATACCGTGCTCGGTAGGCGCCCAACCGGTCCTTCGCGCTTTGCGCTCTTCGAGAACGCACATGACCCTGTGTGCGGCATCCAGTCCGAGGGTGGCGCTTCCAAGCACCAATTTGGTCGCCAGAGTGCGGTCGCCTCCGAGTGCAAAGTTGGATCCCACCAGCAGACTTGCGGTGAGCTCGGTAAGACCACTGATGGACACGATTCTGGCAGAAGATGGGATGGTTTGAAGCTGATGTGGCAACACGCCATTGTCGAGATGCTGTCGCGTCCAGCCAGAATCGGCGTGGAAATCCGACTCCGTCAAAGGCTCGAGGGCCCAATCTGCCCAACGATCGGCAAAACCTCGCAACGAACCATGTGACATCTTGGACAAGCGGGATGCACTGTTGCTACGCTTGCGCGTTGGACGCGATGGGCGACAGGGCCAGTCGAGACTGTCGTCGTTGGTAGAGGTAAGCTGTTGCGTTGCATCCGGTTCAGCATCCGACTGGCTTGGGGACAAGACACCACGATCTGGGCGTGCCTGGGGCGACAGTGGTGTAGATGGCCTCGAGGAAGGGGCTGTGCTATTTCGACGCGAGCCAAAGCCACGTCGATATTTGGGTGTTGTCTCTGGCTTAAAACTGGCTTCAAAGAGGTCGATGCTATCGATGCGGAGGTGAGCTGTTACGTTGCTGGGTGACATGCCAGCCACGAGATAGCTGGCTGCTCCACGGGCACCGGAGCCCATCCTAGTGGGCATCATACGCATGGCCTCGAAGAAATGCCCCAGACTTGGTGGGCGGCGAAAGTAGTAGGAAGCCCGAGCCGGATCATCAGCCTGCGCGGCGTGCTGAGGCGCTTTGGAATTTCGAGGATCAGTGGAGGGCGAGTCTGGTGACATGGAAAAGGTGAGGCCAGCTCGTCCGATGCGGGCTACTGCCTCGGCTTCTTGGAGGTAGATTTCGATACGGTCGACCTCGATCGAGACGAGGGAGGTGAGGACGGGAAGACTAGAGGTGAGGATGAAGAGGGCGGCTCGAAAGGCTCGAAGGATGAAGCTTCTCAAGGCGGGCACGGCGGAGAAGCGGAACCAGGATGCCAGGCCAAGTACGGAATGTATGGACATGAGACCTGCTTGTTGGAAAGTGAAGTACAAGCCAGAGGCTTGTGGCTGTTGCGTTGGGACCATGCGCCGGGCTTTGTCTTGCCTGTCTGAATCTGGATAGACCGAGTGCAGCGATTGAGCCGACTTGTTTGTGTGGGCAAAGAGGGTCTTTGATTCTGACGAGGGTGACATGGGAGGACTGCTCATGAGTCGCTGCAGCCTGAGCTCCTCCTGTTGCTCCAATGTTAAGGACTCGGCTGCGGAGGCGTCTTGAGAGTCAGAGGCTGAGGAAGAAACTTTAGACTTGTGCGCATCTTGCTGAGATCGTGGCAGACGCACGCCGACACCCTGGACGTGCAGGGTGATGATGGCACCACTCTTGCGAGGTACGACACTTTGGTGGTCTTTTGTCCTGCAGAGGAAGTAGGGAAGGTGGTAGGAAGCGTAGACTCTTTGTATCTTGACCTCGAGCTGGTTCTCGTTTCTTGAGAAAGCGGCCGAGTCATTGTGGAAGCCTTTGGATCGGTACTCGATGCCACGGATACCTCTTATGCCTGCTCTCTTGATACGAAGCTTGCCACGGAACAAGATGCGGGGTAGACGGGGCAAGAGCGAGCGGAAGAAGATGGCTGTGATGCAAAGGCCTACAAGAAAAGCCCACAAAAATCTCCAAAGGCTGGGGAAGGCCGATGCTGCCATGTTTGGTGGTGGAGCAGCGCTTGGTATGTCGGAAGCTGATGACATGGTGTGCAGTTGGCGCAGATCTCTCGGTAGCAAGCTGAGAGAACGTGACTCTACAAACAGCTTTGATCGGCCATGATGATCCTGATGCTCTATTTCTAATGTTGCTTAGAATGAGGACAATGGGCGGAGTCGAAGCACGTCAGGGGTATGTGCGCGTGGTGACGAATGTAGGAAGGGTGAGGCAGCTGTTTGGAGGCAGTGATGAAAGCAGAGAGGTAATAGCTGTTGGGAGGTTGGCAGAGGTGAGGCCCCGAAAGAGGTTGAAGAAGCGAAGCGAAGGGTTGTGATGGTGCTGCAGGATGGTGTGGGACGTGCTTGTGCTTGGACTTGACCGGAATTCCAACCAAATTTATTGAAATGCTTACTCTGCCTAGCGCTGCTATAGCTACAAAGCGGCCTTAGCCGGATACGCCTTTGGATGCACATGTCGATTCAGCAGTCTCAAGTCATTGCTCACGAATCACAACATGGCGGCGGCTGTCCACGACACGTTGAAAGAGGGAAGCTGAAAGATCGAACGTTTGTCGTGACCCATAGGACCATGCAACGCCGTCCAACCTGACGGTCCGTGAATATGCGAATCTGAGAAATGTGGAGTGTTTTCATTAAGAGGAGAGAGATGCGCGTAAGCTCAAGCTGCATCCCCCACCAAGTTCCGACACGTATGGGTGCATGACAGTGTGACGCTGCTTACTGTGCCAACCAAACGGCCCGAGAAAAAAGACAAAGAGACCCTTGCTTGCTCGCCAGCTTAACATTGCTAAGCAGACACCACATGGTTAGTTTTGAGACTTCATTTCGGACATGACCACCATGGCCATGGCACTCTTGAGAAGGAAAAAAGGCAGCTGCGCTCTCCGCCTGGTCATGCTGGGATTCGAACCCAGGTAGCCAGAACCTTTCAAAGTCATATGTTGACAGTGCTCTCATATGATTCAAAATCTGGAATGCTTTGACCACTACATCACACGACCGCCATGTTGGCTTCGCAGCCAACTATTTCCGTCACATAGCCTCCGCACCTCTCTTCCTTTGCTATTTTCTCGGATCTCGGAAATTCGAATAGTGTGGAGGAAAAAGGTCCTCTCCCCGATCCTGTCCTGTCAACCACCTCGCTTGCCATTGCCAACACTCACCATGTCCGATACTACGACAAGCAGCAGCAAGAGGGATGAGCTGCAGCATCAGTTGCAGACGCTCAATGTGCTGGAATCCGAACTCAAGTCTCTCAAGTCGAATGCTGTGAGTAGTCTGTGGACTAGCAGCAACCTATTTGCCTAGTATTCCAGACCATTGACTATTCTCTCTACTCGCCATAACGGCAGAAGGTGTACAGTGCTATCCCCACCTCGCTTGAAGCACCACTGATATCGCACGCACATGGTCAGAAGGCCCTTTTTCCAAACCTAGATGCCAAGTCGGCGCTAGAAGATGTCCAGCGTAAGTCGATCAGCGGGCTCTATCTGCAAACATTGTTCCCACCCAAACACTGACACTCATCCTCTACCTTCAATATTCTCGGTGGCATTTTCAGGGCAAAGGAAGGTGCTGCTAGCCAACCTCCAAGAGTTGGAACAGTAAGAGTAAAAGTCAATGCCCCAGAGAGCCATCTTTCATCTTTGCGATTTAGAGTGATGATAGCCTAGAGTGTGTGGTTTGAGCCTTGCAATTTCTCGCACATGAGGATGTGCCGATTTGTTGACCAGATCGTATAAATCGAGATAATTTCATTGTTCAAAACGTGGAGCGAGGAAGAGATGTAGCGGTTGCTTCGACTGTGCTCATCGCGCAGCTTTTCAAAAAGGAAACCGCCTTTACCCGCCATTTCACGGCTTTACTGCCAGAACGCGGGGGGACAACTACACAGCCTGAGAGCCCGGACGAGATCTCAGATTCATCATCATTTGCACCACTACTATCACCACGATCCCCACCATCTGTACTCTGTAGTTTACTTCCCCGGAAGGCCTTTCCGTCTCACTTTTTACCCATGTATCGGCAGCTTCCGAATCTAGGCTTGCGCACTCGCTCGGCGTTTCCGACGACGCAGCTGAGTTCGGGTCGTGCACTTTCGATTGTCACATCGCGCCGTGTGGTTTCTCATCGCAACAACTACGCCGCTCACTCTTTCCACACAAGCACAAGACTCGGTCTTCGATCTTCTTCAACGATAAAGGCAGAATCAGCCGCTAAACCTGCACAAGCTTCCTCGTCGGCATCATCCGCCGCTTCCACTTCCTCGAGCAGCTACTCTGATGGCGGTCCCGCTACTCCCGGAGTAACGACCGACTCCAAGTCGCGCTCCGTCTACATCACTTGGGCAAGCGGCATCACAAGCAAGTTTCACAACATTTGGCTGCGAGATCACTGTCGCTGTCCGCAGTGCTACCATCCCACCACAAAGCAACGTCTCCTCAACACTTTCGAGATTGCTCCCGACGCCGAACCCATCTCTGCAGAGGCCACCACCGAAGGATTGCTAGTTCATTGGCCACTGCTTCCATCTGAACGTGCAGCAACTGCTCCTCCTTCTGCTCCTCCTTCTTCCTCCAGCTCGAGCTCCGCCGAAGCCTCGTCATCAGACGCAGCCAACTCGTCCCCGACAGCACACCACCCTTCGCTGTACCCATGGCGATGGCTCATGCGCAACTCGTACTCTCCCGTCCTCTCCGACCCTATCACAGCTTCCAACGATGACACGGGGCTCAAGGGTATCGAGAAGGTGCTCTGGGGCAAGGGCATCGGATCAGCACCACCCACCGTCAAGTTTGACGAAGTCATGCAGAGCGAGCAGGGCGTCCTCAAATGGGTCACCAAGATTGCCCAGTACGGCTTTGCCTTTGTCTCTGGTGTACCACCCACCCCTACCGATACCGAGGCTCTTATTCGCCGCATCGCATTCATCCGTGAAACCCATTACGGTGGCTTTTGGGATTTCACTTCTGACCTCGCACACGGCGATACCGCTTACACGGATCTCGCCTTACAAGCCCACACCGACACAACCTATTTCACCGACCCTGCCGGTCTTCAAATGTTCCATCTGCTCAGTCATACCGCCAGCAAAAGCTCGACCGCTACAGGCTCGTCCAACTCTAGCTCCTCTGCATCCAAAGGACCTAGCGGAGGTGAATCCCTCCTAGTGGACGGCTTCCTCGCCGCCGCCGTATTGAAAGACGTCCATCCAGACGCCTACGAGACCCTCTCTCGCGTTCGCATCCGCACCCACTCCGCCGGAGACGAAAACACAATGATCCGTCCGCTCCTCGACGGCGGCTACCCCATCCTACAGCACGATGAAGCCACCGGAGAACTGGTGTTGGTCAGGTACAACAACGACGACCGCTCCGTACTTCGCGTCGACGCCGAAGAAGTAGAACCCTTCTACGACGCCCTGCGCAAGTGGAACGAGATCCTCACCAATCCAGAGGGCGAATACTGGGTCCAGTTGAAATCCGGCACTGCGCTCATCTTTGACAATCATCGAGTCTTGCATGGCCGATCGGCATTTGTCGGCAATAGGAGGTTGTGCGGTGCCTACATTAACCACGACGATTACCGCAGCAGACTAGCGGTGCTCCGATCGCAGTTTGCAGAAAACCGAAGCGGCAGAGGAGTATGGGATGATGGTCTCTAAATCTCCATTCCCTCGATACATGGCATAGCAAAAGTATTCTGTACAAGTCACAAGTCACAAATGCATACAACTTTGCAACAACTTTTTTTTTTTTTTTTTTTTTTTTTTTCTTTGCTGAATTCCATTGTACGACCATTAAAACTGTCACTTGGGCTAACGACAGTTTCCGGTATGTTTTTCATACAGGTTTGTGTGGGGAAAGACGTAGATCTACTGTGATACCTATACTGTAGAGTATATTTTTTGTGTCATGGTTTTTAACAGGGGGAAGAGCAATCAGCGTGTGCAGTGGGCAGTGTGTATGTATGATAAGTGGATGCGAGTTGGGGGAGATACAAAACACTCACAAACAACAACACCCACACCAACTCAAAATCACACATACACCAAACACCAACAAAACAGAAAAGAAAAAACCATCAAGATATATGCAAACCAAAAACCAAAACCAAACTAAAACTACAAACGAACCAAGATCAACACGATGCAAGAGAGAATAAAATAGTACAACCCTGGCCGAACCGAAACCGTATGACAAAAAAAACAAAGAATGAGCGTAGCGAGAAAAGAGTGTATAAAGTGAAATCGAAGGTGAAACGGGGAGGGACAGGGGAAACTTTAGCAAGCTGCAAAGACTGGTCATTCTCCACCGGCGCTGGCGCTGGTGGCGGTTCGCTTTCGGAGGGCGGTAAGTTCGTGTCTAAGCCTTCGGTTGGTGTTGTGAAGCTTTTGCATTTCGATTAGCCAGCTTCCGCTGTGGAAGCCTGTCAACTCGCTAAAGACGGTATTGGCGGCATCGTTGGCGGTCATGACTGGGAAGCTTGTACCGTTTGCACGCAGAAGAGAACCGCTGAGAGAGCCGGAACCTTCCTGGGCTTCCTGCTGCTCTCGATCGGATGCCTTTCGCTTTGCTGGGATCGAAGGCTGCGCTGTCGCCGACAATAGGGACGATGACGAGGCCGGAGTGGTAGCGGCGCTGTTGGAAGGCGGCAATGTAGATGCAGGTTGCTGTTGCACATGCACAAAGGAAACCGAGTTCGACCTGCCGTCCGAAGTCCAGGGGTAGACAGTGAGCTTGACGGGAGCCTTATGCGCCGAATTCTCGCTCTCGTAGTGGTCCTGGACCGAGATGCAACGTCCACAGCGAAGAGCGTCGAGCAAGTCGGATGAGCTTGTAACCATTGGCAAATCGCGCACGTGTCGACCAAGAAGGTTGACGTCCTCGATCCCCAAGATTTGCTGAATGGGACCGGTCGAGCCGAGGAAAATACCATTGTGCGAGATCTTGACCCATGCCGACAACTCTAAGGAGAGCAAGTCTTCACGTACATCGTTCCATGGCAACATGGGGATGGGATGAGGACGACCAGAGCAGACGACCACCTTGCGGTGCTTGGGAGGGTCCACTGAAACACGGCCTGTAGTTTCGATCAGGCTGAAGGTACCGTTCTTGCAAGCCATGCGCGTGATGAGGTCGACACGACGGTTCGCCTTGACTGCAGTAGTGTTCGCGGCATCCGAACCTTCATCGTCACCATTGGGCAGCGTGATGGCCTCCTTGAGCTCGCGAGAGAAGGGTCCGATGTCGGCGGGATGGCTAAAGTCGGCAAGCGGACGACCGATGATCTCCTCGGGATGGAAACCAAGGATGCGCTGCACCGAGGGAGACATGTAGAGCACAGTACCCTTGAGCGAAAGCACAAAGACAAGATCATGCGAGTTGGCGACAATGGCATCGCTCCAAGTGTCAGCATCATCTGCCACAGCAGGAAGTCCTGCGACGTGTGTCGCTGACAAGTCGGCGCCGCCGATGGAGGCACGGTGAGGACGACGCTGCTTGGGCAGTGGAGTCTTGGGCGTCTCGGGGGAAGAACCGAGGGGTGGCAGGATCGGGTCAGGGGCCGAGTTCTGTCGTCGACGACCTTTGGCAGCAGGTCGAGGGGTCTGTGCCGCCTGTTCAGTCTGGGCATCGATCAAGTTGGAGCCGGAAGATTGTTCCATGTGGCTCAAACGACGTCGCTGCTGGATGGTCAAACCCTTGTTCTGACCCAGCATCGAAGCACTTCGATCGTTTGAGAGCGCATCGGGACGACCGATGGCGTCGACATTGAGGACAGATCGGCTGAGGCTCGAAGCGAGTGATCGAGGACCGGGATGACCTGCGTTGATGATGGTGCTGGTCTTGACAAGGTCGGCGAGGTGCTGAGCATGATCGGAAGCAATGTTGGTGTGATAGCCCGTCAAAGTGTTGTTTGGGATGCAAGGAGAGGCCTGAGAGGCGAGACTAGCGGGGCTGAGCTGGGGCGTAGAGCCAATGTCCTTGGGTTGGTCGTTGAA